ACGGATTTTTAGCCGAAAGCTAAAACGCGCCGGCTGTCCACGTAAGCTGGGTGGGTGATTAATGTTGGGTGATTAATACAAGTAACTCAATGATTCCAGGAACAAGAGAAAGGGAATAACGGAAAAAAACCAGAGAACAAAGAAGAAGAGAATAAAAAAGCAATTAAGTAATTGGAAAAAAATACATGAAAAGAAAACCACGAAGAGGAACTGCCATGCGGAACCAAAAACATTTAAGCCTTGGCTGACTCTCCTCTTACGGATGACCCTCACTCGCCTCATAGCAGTCAGGTACGACCCCATCATTGGGGAATCCCCAGCTATGGTGTGCTCTGCTCATGGCTGGTCTTTTTTCCGATGACTTCAAAAACTTCTTTAGTCGCAAGAGCTTGTTGATGCGGAATTCCACAAGTGTGCTTGGAGTACATCACTTCAGAAAACCTTATTATCCGTCCATTCCGAGAAGAAGTCTCAGTGTTTGTCACAAAGTAGTGTTTTTGTTTTGATTATCAAGCTCTTTTTGATGGATGTTTTCTAGCCTTGCCAGCTTCGGGTTTGCTCGCGCATTGTTGTTTACAACTTTGAATTATCCCCTTTCTGAAAGGAGGGGAAATCCATTTCTTGGCCATGAAAGAATGCTCTATCCTTTTATTGAGCAAATGGTCATGAAACTGGAAAAAAATAAATATTATAACGGTCACAACAATTCGAAGGTTTAAGCGGTGCTGCTCGTACCTCCCCGGATGAACTGTTGCGCTTTCGCAGTTCAAAATAGTTTGAAAGGGATAAAGGCACTCGTAATGCTTATCCGTAAGTTGTAAACCACCTTGTAGGGCGTTTCTTTGGATATTTTTGTTCACTTAACGGTTTCCTGATGGTGAACAGATTACATGAAGCCACTTTTTCCATTTTTCTCTCTTTTTATTGACCATTTTCTTTACTTAGGCATGAGGCGCGCCTAAATGCTAGCAATCATCATAATGCAAGCAGTTGTTCCCTTTTTGATTATGCGATCGCAGTAGATTTCGATGGCGTGCTCAAACCCTGAAAAATTCAATTTGAAAGTAATGAGAACGCTCCAACGTAGATGGCATAGGGGCGAAAAATTTTGGTTCACAGTTATCTCCAGATCTCCAGCAAGGGACTTCTTATCATCCGTAATCGGCCCTAATACTGCGCAAAGACCTTAATTCTTCACGAAGATCGGCTAATAGGGAAGTTTCATCTGTTGTCGATTTACGAGTGGGGGGGGGGGACAAAAAACTTTCCTTACTAGTGGGACTTTAAAAACTCACCAAAATCGAGACTTCGCCGACAGAGTTGTACGATGCCCTGACCTCGAACTCGGTACCCATTTCAGACCTTTTCTGGAACCTCTTCAAGCAAGTCTCCGCAAAAAAATTTTGTGTTTTTGGAGTGTAAAAAATTAGTGCCAAAATTTCTTAACCTCGGTATTCCCCAGCAAAGTTGACCTCGCTCTGTAGGACCCAAAGTGGAGCAAGCACTGCACCAACGCATCCACCGTCAAGAGAAGTTGAAGCCACCGATTATCGCCGTGGACCTCTAAAGTGCCTATAGTATTTGAGACAGTCTGAAACTGCGTAACTCCCAGGGCGAGACACTCGCGCACAGCTTCCTGGAAGATATCGCTTCGATAGTGGGGAACACTAGCCGTCCAGCTCTGAAAACGTTTTCTTTCACGTTTTAGACTTGATTACTGGACCTTCGAAGCAGAATTAATCTCCACGCGATCTGGGATCCCACTCACATCGGTTTGTTAGATCGTAAAGATACAAGGACATCGAAGCAGTGTCTGTAGTGTGTGTCTACTTATTCCGTTGCTCCGCGTGTTCACAAAAAAATGGCCGTGCTCTGAATGAGCGAAGTGCCTTTCAGCCCCTCAATCTTCACGCGCCTCCGCACTTCTGAGGAACATGCCGAGATTTATAGAGATTTTATTTTTATTTCATAGGGATTATCGCACTTGGACACTACTTCAATGGATTATGAGTTACGGAGCGGTAAGATCGGTGACTGCTAGTTCTTATATTGTACCCGT